AAAAAATTGAAAATCTCATTCTAATCAAATTATATACAGAGAAATATTTGAGAGCAGATTTAGACCACCATCTTTGACTCGTTTTCAAAGGCTCTTCTGCTATAGCAGGCAGTCTGTTCATGATTCTTTTTCCTTTTGCACATTCGTAGTACTCCCTTATACTCCTGTTTGATAATCAAGTAATATTGATTTAGTGATTTGAGACTTGCAGCTTATAATCGACTATTACTATTAATTATAACTATTCACGCCTTTGGCTGTTCTGTGAAACACCACTCTTCAAAGCTTTATACGTACACTATACTAAAACTCCTAGCGTCTAATTTTCAAATTAATCTAAATAATTTTCTAGCGTTAATTTGTCGCTTCTTACTCTCTAAAAAACAAATCTATGTACATATCTTTAATCTTCAAATATTCGAGGTGTCTCTTCATCAGACTGCCGAGTTCTGCAACAATGATCTACATAGATCACTCGAAACAATAAATAGTAAAATGGAATTCAAGATTTCCCAGCAGCACTGAAAGAGATCTTAAGATAAATTGCCAACCTCAGAGTCATTAATTCCTCATTTTCCTTCAAGTCCACTTTTGTTTTGCGTGAAATAGCTCTGATATCTGCTGGTAAAGGTCGATCTTTTGTTTCGGGTAGAAATAAGCAAAGTACACCAGAAATTATGCAAAGTAATCCAATGATGACATATTTTGTATATTCCGCTCCAAGTTCCTTAAAAAGATGCGGTTGCGGTAGGACAGATTCGTGAAGCTGGAAAACTTACTACATGGCGAAGATACGGAGCCACAATAATGCCTATACTTTGTGGGACATTGATCAGCGAATAGAAAAGTGATCTAACGGAAGTTGGTGCCATTTCTGCTACGTATAATGGATGCACATCATATGTGACACTAAAACCACTATTTTGAATACCAGCTTCAACTCAGGAATAATTATTTGAGTTCCGTGGCAGACCTCTGCTTTTACCTGTTGAACGCTTTGCCGATTATTAGAAATGCAAGGAAAAACCACCTGGGCTCTGAAATGCAGCTCTTCTTTAAAGTGTGAGATTGAGTTGCTTTTTTCTTTTTAATGTTTTGAATGAAAAGCTACCTCGAGAAAATGGAGCAACGATAATGGCAAGACCTTGAGCTGCCATAGTGGTTACACATAAAATTCTACGCCCAGCATATAACATCAAGGGAATTACAGCGAAACCTCCTAGAAGCGGATATCCTTTCAAATTTCAATAAAAAAGAAGTAGCGACCGACCTGGTAATTCGGCAAAAGTTGATAGCAAAAAGGCTGTAAATCGATCCTCACTAAGATCAACCGATAGGAAAGAAAGACCGAAGTAGTAGAATGCCATAATAAACCTTAAAAAAGCAAAGAACTGCATTAGCCTATTAGAGAACTTAACAATCAACTGCAAAAGCAATCTGCTTAGAAGAAATAATAGC